GAACCGGATGACGGATTATTTGATCCTATGAACCCACATTTGGTCATCTTAGTACCGGATGAACCAGTTATCCAGTGGATTCATTAAATATACTAGTGCAGTGTTATTTAAACAAGGCCAGCCAGTCAAAGACGGAAGCGTAGCCTCGAGGGAGCTCAGGAGCCTCCCTCAGCCGAGTTCAGCCTTAGTCAGCGGTTTCATGCACACCCACAGATATTTGGTGGCGTGTTATTTCGTGAAATGACAGCGCTAATATAGAATCCAGCCAAATTAGTGACTGTGTCTTCGCGAGATTGTTCACGGATTTCGTGGTGTTACATTTCGCGAGAGATTATCTACGAATTTTGTGGAGTTTATTTCGCGAGGTCACTAATAATATTTAATACTTCTTGATAATATTAGAAGTTTCATAGAGGCTAATTAAGAGGCTATTATCAATAATTGTGTATATTATTTCTCCAAAATAGAGAATTATTTAATATATATTGCACTAGTGATCACAGTATAATATTTACTAATTGCCAACCCACAACAGGGTAGGATATTACCATTGACTAGTTGAACTATTATTGTTCATCCTAGTCCCATTATTACTATAGTCAGTTGTACTATATTGAACAACCTAACACCATTAATGAATGGTGCAGACCCTATTTTGGGTGTAATTTTTATCAACTCGAGTTGAGTTGTATATATAATAAATTACTTATGATCATTACACCTTTGAGTGATTAATTAGTGTCTCTACCATCCTAGGGTGATATAGAAGAGCTAACCTAAAGGTACTTCCAGTGACACTGGTTTATCACTCAAATCATTAGTGTGGATGATTGTATATATATAATGTGTATTAATTTTAAGTGCTAACCTCTAGTAGAGGTAGGATTATTGCCTAGTGAGTTCAGAATTTACCCTAGGCTATCATTAGTGTTTGTTCAGTATTATGAGCAGCCCAAGTACAAGCCCCACAAGGCTTCACCAACTAGCCAGTATGGATAATGCAGGGAGAATGAAAAGAACCCTTGCAGGTCTTAAAGGCCACTTAACAAGACAGATCAAGAAATGTGAAGATTTGTCACAACAATCAACAGTTGATTATGCTGACCTGGAAAGCTATTATCAAGCAGCTGCAGGTAAATTTGAGCAAATCAAATGTCAAATAGCAACATATGTGGCTGAACTTGCCAACACTAATTTATCAGAAACAGAAATAGACGACATTATGGTTGATCTTGCGAATTATGAAGATCACACTCAGGCCACGTTACAGCCTTATGTCAAATTAATTGCCCAGAACAAGGCAACAGCAACAACAACAACAGTTGCATCTAATACGAGTCAAGCAGAAGCTCGACTCCCTCCAATTAATTTACCCACTTTCTCAGGAAAAGATGAGGAAGATTGGGAAGAATTTTGGGACAAATTCGTTGACCTTGTAGACTCAAAACAATCTTTACCAAAGAGTAGTAAATTCTCTTATTTGCAAGGCCAATTATCAGGTGAGGCTAAAACAGTAGTATCCCATCTGAGATTAACTAATGACGGCTATGATCTGGCAGTAAAACTCCTCAAGGATAATTATGCTGATCCAGAAGTAAGAACATCACATTTAGTTCATGAGCTGTTGCATTTACCCCCACCGGAGGCTTCAGCTGATTCACTCCAAGTATTCAAGCTGGAGGTAGAATCATTGATCAATGCCCTCAGCCTGACAGCAGATACAAACGGGGCTGAGTGGGTCTTGAAAATAATTGTCCAGGAGAAAATACCTAGGGACATATTGAGACAAATGAGTGCTCATTACAATAAAAGCATCTTATCCATGAATGAAATATCTGAAGGTTTAAAGTCAGTAGTTCATCAATTACGAACACATGACAAATTAAAACCACCAAGTAAACCCTCAGAAACCAATAACAGTAAACCACAGAGTACCAAAGGTACTCCAAATCAATCTAGACAATATAATTCAACACCAAAGTGGAACAGTAGCAGTGTGGGCGTATATGCAGTGGGACCCTCCAAGCCTATAGTTACTGTGTCACCCAAGAACGTGACACCAAAGGGTACTGGAAGCTATGGAACATGTTTGTTCTGCAATGAGAAACATTCAATGTACCACTGCTCTAATTTTCCTGATAGTGACGCCCGTGTTGAGCGACTCAAAGATTTGCAACATTGCACGAGGTGCCTCAGGAAACATAACATCAACGACTGTGATACCCAATTACACACCTGTAATAGGTGTAACAAAGGTCAGCACCATGCAGCATTGTGCAGAGACACCAAAACAACGTCTCCAAACCCCAAGGTGGAAGATAGCATTCCCACCACAGTACAGTACTGCAAGGTGCAACAAACAAACAGTGTCCAATCGGCAAAGTCTAAAGGTAATACGACTTTGCCTACTGCCCAAATTACCATCCTGAATAAGAGGGCCAAGGTCTATACCCGTGGGTTGTTTGACCAAGGATCCCAGAGAACATATATCACCAAAAAGTTGGCAGATGAATTACAATTAAGGCCTGTAGCCCAGATGTCATTCAACATCTCAGGGTTTGTAACAGATGCAGGACCTCAAGTCTACCAGGTGGTACAACCATCAGTACGCTTAGGCAGGTACGTCTGTCGAGTACAAGCCATTGTGGTGGACAAAATACCAGTAGACCTACAAGTTCAAGGTCTGAGAGCAACAGCCAAATTCCTGAGAAATAGAGGAATAAAATTGGCAGATAATATTAAGTCTGATCACCTCACTGACTTCGGTCTCCTTGTTGGGACAGACTATTGCCATCGATTCATCGGTAGCCCTACTAAATATCAGGGTATAACCATGTTAAACTCTGCAGGAGGTAAATTACTCTCAGGCCCAGTATCAAGCCTGAGGAGACCTATGCCTGCAGATAAACAATACTAGTAGAAATCTAAATTTGTCAGCTGATTATATTTCTCCAGTAGCATTATACTAAGGAGATTACAGCTGACTATAGTAAGAGGTTGATGTTAGTATCATCATTTAAAGCTGAAGATGAGTTCATGAGGCCTCAGTGGCAAATCAGTGAACAGTAGCTTAAGCAGCTACAAGTCACTACGACCAATGTCACTAAACCCACTGCAGTCTCAGAACCATACTTTACTTTAATGATGAGCTATTCAATCTTCTGAATCAATTAACTAAATTAAACCCCAATAAATCTGATGACTGATTTGATACATTTATTATTTAATCAAGATGTATTCCATGGGCCTCAGTGTTTATATATCAGTGACCAGTTACCCGAACAAACTTCAAGTTATATCTGATGTCACTGATCTCACTGCAGTCCCTGAATCATACTTGACTGTAGTACTTGATCACATCCAGTCTTCTGGGTTAAATAATATGTAATTAGGCTTGAATATTAGCCTTTCAAGAGTTGACAGGGAAATGAAATCGCATTAGACTTCTAACCCCTGCAACTCTAGTACGGGACATCCGTCCTGTACGAACAGACGCACAAATGTGTGATTAATCTAATAATTCGAAGGAGGAGTATCGGTGTTCGTCTGTTCTAAAGAGGACTTCGACCCGTGAGCAGCCCCCTGGGGAATTATGTCGGAAAATCCGACACCATTTAATATATCATACAGACAGATAATAATTTCTGCTGTATTACCAACAAGTTACCCATAGAAAACGTAACTTGTAGTGGAATTACCGTCTAAAGAAAACGGGATATCATCACCACATACTATTATAATTCACCAGCTATTCTGCTGGGAATTATTCTTAAATACATTAGTCTTTGGACTTTACCATCATAAAACATCTTATATAAATTAACTTAATTATAAATATTAAAGTAGAGTAAATGTGACCCTTCTATCACTTTCTGAAATCTGGACAAAGTAGGCCAGGCGTCAGTGAGTGGGGAAGGAGGGCGGCCATTGTTGTGTCACCTCCGAGACGTGTGGAGCGAGTTCGGCTCCTATCATTCTGGACAATGTCGGCCAGTGACGTCAATAGAATGGAGTGTTAGATGCAGCCATTTATATTGAGACCAGAGGCTCACACGGGAGCAAATTCGGCTCCTGTTAAATTTACTTGGACGTAGTGTTATGGAACCCAAAGGTGTACCATTGTCAACACGCTGTCTACAAATACAAGTTAAGTGTCTATCCGAAACCCGTTTATCATTCATTTATGGCCATTAATGTCAGGATATAGGGTTAGCCGGTTAGAACGCGAAATCGCCTCAAACTAAAGGTAATTAAGCCAGGTCTTTCATGTTCCATCCTGCCGAAGGCGGCTAGTTTATTGTGCACCCCAGGCCTAGTTTATCGAGGTGAAGATGTGATAATTTTAAAGTACTGTGATAATTCATCCCTTGTTACAGAGAGCATGGTTCCTCACAAGGTAATACGTATATTACAAATGCGTATACTGTATTATATGTATGCGTATATGCAAGGTAATACGTCTATTATTGATAACACTGTACAAAGACAGTGTTATCAATATCAAATTATAATTAAAAAGAGGTAAAGGTAAAAAAGATAGGGTGAAGATGGCTCTTAATCTGAACAATTACAATAATTTTTGTCATACGGAAGAATAAGATAATGTACTAGGACCTCTATAATGGAAGGTGGACCTGTATCTGTCAGCAAGAGGTCTCGATGCTGTCACACCCGGTATCTTGTTATCTACCTAATGAACTACCTCATTCCCTCTCCTTGTCAATTTTACAACACAATTTTACCTTAAATTTTCTAGTAAACCCACTTATCCTGTTACATTTAATTGCAAAATACTTAATGCAATTAAATTCCACAACAACAGTTCAATTACTGAAGTGACAAATGCAAAGTTAACTTTACAACCAGTGGCAGATGAAGGTCAAGTGCTCGACGGCAGGAAACGCTCTGATCACATCAACAATAACGGGCTTACAAATACACAGTGTTTATAATTCAACTGTTGAGATTTGAATGCACTAATGTCTAGGCGTAGTTCTCACCTTTTTAGCTTGGCGGCCATGCCGTCCATTCCAGTCTTCTTGGCGTTAGCATTGAGATCTTTGCAGAACAGCAACATCATGCAATCTAACGCGTAGCGCTTCTTCAGATAAACGCGTCCAAACTTAAATAATACTTTGATGGCGAACTCCATAAATTTCACACGCTGCTCAGAGCTGAACATGCCGAGTGGATCCCACATGCGTCCCTCGGGCACTTCATGGGATGAAATGTTGGTACTGGCGGTGTCTCCGACTTTCTCAACAACTGGGAGAGTCTCAGAAAGATCTTCAGCCATGGCGATTGCATGAGTAATTTCAGATAGGCTTCTCTCAGACTCATGAGAGACTTGATTGACAGTCGCAGTCATGAAGTTTTGCGTAAGTACACGGTCCTTGTTTTGCCTCAGACGCTCCAGTCTCAATTCAAGAAGTTGCAGGTCTTCTTTGGAGAGGGTGCCAACTTTCTCAATGAGGAATTCCCAAAAGTCTAGGAATGTCCAGGTGATGAGTGATAGCTCAAAGGGGTTCAAAGTTCGAAGTTTCTCAGAATCGATGAGCATGAGGCGCTCATTCCTGCCAGGTCTATCGTCAAACATATCTGGCAAAACGTCAGCGCTGGTTGTGTCCGCTTCTTTGAACACCTTGTTGTAATCTTCCAATAATTCAACTTCGTTTTGCATATATTCTTCTCTAGATTCATTGAAACGGCCATCTATTTTTGAAGGGAAGCTTAATAACGTAGATGCTAGCCTCTGAGAGTATTCATATATGTCATATAAAGGTCCCAGTAGAGGCCTGTGGTTCGGGGAAGGGGCGTGATCAGGCCTTGGAGCTGTCTGTGTCGGAGGTCGATGGTTCGGTTCAACCCAAAGGCTTCGATTTGGAATTTGTACCGGGGGCCGTTCAGCATCTGGCCGTGAAGGTAAGGGGTTGCCTTGCCTATTAGGTAGAAGACCTCGAATTTTTGGTCGAGGCCCAGCATTGTTAGGCCGAGGACCCCCAGTGTTAGGTTGAGGGCCACCATTATTTGGTCGAGGGCCACCATTGTTAGGTCGAGGGCCACCATTACTAGGTCTAAAGCCACCGTTGCTAGGTTGAGGGCCACTATTGTTAGGTCGAGGGCTACCATTGCTAGTTCGAGGGCCACCACTGTTAGGTTGAGGGTCACCATGGCTAGTTCGAGGGCCACCACTGTTAAGATGAAGGCCACCACGGCTAGGTCGAGGAGCACTAAAAGGAGGTCGCGGTCTTCTTTGTGGTGGTGAATTCCAACTTTGTGTTGAAGCTTCTTCAGGAACAGGTCCTCTGTCATCGTGCTCAGCTGGTAGTTGGCCGTTATGATTATAAGCATTCCAGAAATGGTGAAATGCGGGATTAGTTGGGCGGTGGTCTATGGTTTGGACTTTATCACCGTACCCAACCACTGGAGGTCCAGAGTACCCACTGTCTTCTTGCGTCAGGCCCTTTCTGTGGCTGTACTGCGACTCGCCGAAGACAGATGGTGAGACCGATGTTGTTGTTGTTGTGGCTTTTCGCTCATGTTTGTTGTAATAGTACATCATATCATCAAAATACCCTGCTGGGCCTGGTCGAACATGGTCCGGTCTTTCTCCTGCAGAATTTCGGAGTCTCTCCAAGTTCTCTGGGAGGGTGACACCTTCTAGTAACGATATCCGTGTTGGTATCGTAATACCAGGTGGCATCGTAATACCTGGTGGCATCGTAACACCTGGTGGCATGGTAACACCTGGTGGTATCGTAACACCTGGTGGTATCGTAATATCTGGTGGCATTGTAATACCTGGTGGCATCTTGACACCTGCTGGCATCGTGAAACCGTGTGATGTTTGGTCGCCTCTGTTGGCAGTGTATTGTTGAGAGTTGTCATAACCAGAAGTGTCTGGGGAATTTTTCATCTCATTATTATCAGTTGGAGCTTCTCTCTGACTCGAGGGCTGGTAGGGTCGGCGACTGCCTTGTAGTGATGGTGTGAAGTAGTGCTCGTAAGTTTGTTGTGAGTCACCTTGATTCTCTTGAATGTATGACTGATCATGGTCCTGGTCATCGTAGTCGTAGGTTTCTGGATGATCGTCGTAATCGTGAGATTGTGAACGGTCGTTTACTGGTTGGTCGCTGAAGTCATGAGCTGATTGATCGCGGTAGTCATAGGGATGTCGGGGATCGTACGCTGGATGTTGTTGGTACGGTTGGCGAGAGTTGGGAGGTCGTATGGAGAGCTGACCTCGACTGATTTCCGAAGGCGTATGTTGCGGACCTTCATGATGATTTGGGTTAATGGGTCTCCTTGGAAGAGGGGTGGAGAGGGCTGTGGGTGTTTTTGTCGTGGGGAATGATGGTGGATATGGAAATGGTAGCCCCATGTCGAGCAGCATAGGATCAATGTCCCGAGGAATGTTGTCAGGAAGACCACCTTGAAGTGGGTAACCTGAAAAGTTCTCATCTGAAAAGTCATCCACTTTTCTGTTATCGTTGTGTACATACTCTGACACGCCCTCACTGTATTCACTGTAACTATCTGAGGGAGGAGGGACTACCACAGGTCTGTTCTCGGAGTGTTGTACGAGGCTGTCACTACCGTGGGTGATGTCCATGGGCTGCCATGGGTCAGGCTTCGCAATATCTGCGACAGGTGTGGTCCCTTCAGAGCCTCCACTTCCAAGCTCCAGCAAACCCCCAAAGAGGCCAAAGGTTGGGTCAGGACCTGGAATTCGGGATGATGTTGTGAGATCCTTGTCTGGCGTTACGCCCTGGAAGTGGCCGATCGCCTCGTTAATGTGGAATTCCTCGTTAGTGTGTGTTATGGGCACTTTTGCCGCGAGAGAGAGCTCCTCCAGGACTACGCTTGGGGCGTTGAAATCTATGGTGGAGGGAGTCGATGAAGGTTTATCTGTGTCTCTAAGACCCTGGACATGCATTAACCTGGGCTCCGTGGCGTTGACATCGCTATCGAAGGTTTCCACTTTCTCTTCGGCGTAGGCGCTGACTAACATCCAAACGCCGAGGCCGACGATGGCGACGAGCAACAAGATGACGGCGGTGACGACAGAGCAGAGGACTTTGATGCCCCGCACCCGGTACACGATTCCCCTGTACATAACGTTGACCTTCATGCTGCTGCTGCCAGTCGAGGGCGCCTCGCTCGGCTCGCTCTTCTCACTCATGGTGCTCTTTGGAGACAAATCTAAGCCGAGACTGGAAGGTTCAAGGTGGCTTGGTACACTGACGCTTCCCTGTGATCGTCACGCTCCTAACATTAACATAGTGGACTTACGTATATTGCTAGCAGTCCCTGAACTCGCACCAGTATAAGTGGATTCTCACATGATGGCGGTGGCGACTTTACAGCAGATCGAAATTATGAACAACTCGAGGCAAACAACCGAAATGCGATAGATCAGGTCACTACGTGGTGTGCCAAACACGTGATTGGTATCCGACTGAAAAATACCTGGGAAATGTTGTTGAGTAGTTGAGTTGGGAGTAGTCAAAAAATAGCTAGTATGGTAGCACGAGTCAACACGTAGCAAGTCTGTAACACGTATTCAACAAGTGGCAAGTTCGGTAGCACGTACTGTCAACATGTGGCAAGTACGGTAGAAAATACTGTCAACTCGGGACAAGTCAGTAACACGTAGTCAACACGTAGCAAGCACGGAAGCACGTAATGTGAACACGTAGCACATATGTCAACACATCGGTAACATATGCTGTCAACTCGTGGCAAGTCAGTAGCACGTATTGTAAATACGTGGCAAGCACTCTATAACAAGCAGTCAACACGTAGAAAGCACCGTAGCGTGTACCGTCAACACGTCAAGTACCGTTGCTCATGCAGTGTATGAGGTGATCTAGTTTGTGTTAATCCAGGTATAATGTCCTTTTGCTTGAGGGTCCGCCGCGTCTTTTTAGTCGAGGAGAACGTGTGGGATAGTATCACTAATGTAATGAATATTAGTCACTGTCCCTATCAACAATTATTTAAATACAATATATGATTTGAAATGGTTACAAATATCACAGTCGTGTGGAAATAATGCCCATAAGATTGTGTCTAAATGCAGTTTTTACTACATTTGAATTTTTTCTGAATTATTGACAAAGTTTCAAGGCCATAACACCAGTCGAGAAAATCCTCGGTGATGTAACTAAAAAAAATATTAAGAGAGCACCAGAGCGGCTCGCCAAATGCGCATGGTGGCTAGCGCGCGACTGGCTATCTTGGCTTCCTGAGTCTCCAGGCTGGGTCCGGCGGCACCCTGGCGGCCGCTCACCAAACTAACCTTCCAGACTGAACTTGTGACCGTAAAACCAACTCTGGTATCGTCATTTTTCTCTAGCAGTTGATGGGAGGATAAATGGTACAAATTGTCAAGTCGGTGTTTCAGGACGGTATTGGAGATTTGGTTTTATATTGAGCAGGTCTTATCAACAGCGTGAGGCCCATGAGGGGAAAGATATGGTTAAGGTCACCATATCTTACTGACCAACTAGAAATAATATTTTAGCTCAAAATGAAGTAATATATATTCCAACGTATTGGAAGAGACTATTTTATATGTTTAGTTTGTAATTCACTTGGTACAAGAAAGAGCTTCCCTTCACCCTCTTGATTACCGCTTAGCTGAATTCTCCTTCAAGACTATCTGGAGTAGAAATGGACATTCGGGTTGTTGGGTCGTGTTGGTGTTGTGGCGAGAACGATGGTGTCTCTTGGACGATGGATGCCACCGGAGGAGTTCCAGTCATGTTTATTTGAAAGGGGGATTGAGACTCGAGAGTTTTGTTAGCTGTATACAATATTGATGTTTAGATTCCCACGCCCATGTATCATATAGGGTAGGCGTTCGATTCACAATGGGTCCAAATGATTAGACACCGTTGTAATGGCTTGGCGTTACCATTTGGCATTAATGATCTTTCCTCCGGGCTTTAGTGTGTCCTCGCGACTTAAGTTTAAGAGATGAAGAGCCGGAGAATGAAAACAGTCTGTAAGGGGGGTTTGTGCTTGAGTAAAAAGCTCATGGGAAGAGTGTTTTCTAAAGGAAGGGATGGGAACTATCAGGATAAAGTGCAAAGTCATAGTGACTACATAGCATTTGGAAAGGATCAGGATAAGGATTAGGGATAAGATGGGGGAAAGGAATGGTGTCCAACCACTTGGACGGTCGGGGATTGAACGCCGACCTGCAGGAAGCAAGACCATCGCTCTACCGACCAGCCCAAGTGGTTGGATTTTCTAAAGGAGGGTGTCGTGATACACCAAGGTATTGCAACGCGTCTACGAAGGTGTATTAGAAAGATTTGGAACTTCTACAATGCCCGAGTATAATAGTGCTTCTGAAAATAAGAGTATTTTACTTTACCCGCCAATGTGAGTTAAAGAGAAGTCGCCCACACACATACCTGCAAACAAAAGAGAAACAATATTAATATTTAAAAAAAAAATATTTAGTTTCATAAGTTGCATTGAAAAATAGTGAAAGTATGGTTTTAGCAGTAAAAGTAGTAGTAATATTAATTGTAGTAACAGTGCTAGTAAAAATATCATTAGGAGTGATAGTAATAGTAGCAGTAGTGATAGTAATTATAGTAATAGTAGGAATGATAGTAATAGTAGTAATAATAGCAGTAATAGTAATAATAGTAGTTTAAGTTTTAGTTGAAAGGGTAGTAGTGGCAATGTCTGTATTAATATTTGAAGCGGTATTATCAGTTATAGCGGTAGTAATAGTATTAACAGTAGGTGTAAAAGTACCAACAGCAGTAGAAGTAGTAGCAGTACTAGTAGTAATAACAGAAATAGTACCAGATGCAGTGACAATGGAACTAGTAGTAGCAGTAAATTGAACATAAATGTATGTATGACTCAGAACGGAAGTTCAAACGAGCGTATGCCTACATAATACGATAATAATAATAATAATAATAATAATAATAATAATAATAATAATAATAATAATAATAATAATAATAATAATAATAATAATAATACTTAGAACAAGAAAAGCGTCATGAGAAAAACTATTGTCAAAACTCCTGCACGTCGTCGCCAGTGAACGACTCTTCCATTGTGGTCTGTCTCAAAGCATTTATAAAATTAAGACTCTTCCACGGGCGGCCATTGCTTCCCACAACACTAAACGGAGACAACGGAGTGACACCGAGTGCTTTGTCAACACCCAGACCCCGAACTGGACGACGGCTGCGCCAGTCGTGGTGGAATGTGGTCTTCTTTACCTCTGTGGACCTCTGCCTTTTTCTGTCTCTATCTGGTTAACTGTCTTTATGTCTGTCATTCGTGTTTATGTCTCAAGCGAGCCGTGCCTGAATACATTGTTGGTTCTTGAGTTTTCTCAGGCTTCTTGTGTTATGATTCACTGAAATTATGTCTCAAAATGTATGTTTTCATTTCCAGTTTGCTGGAAATTTTTCTTACTAGTTTCGCTGAACCGAGCAGCGACTACAGTATATTCTACCAGCTTTGATTTTATGTTAACTACTGTACATATCGTAGCCCATAATCTATATATGTAATAGAGAATGTCTGTGTTTATCTGTTTAAGGTTGGAGGTCAGACGCTCAGGTCTGACCTGAGACCTAATGACACGCAGCATGGAGGAGGCTATACCTAGCGTGGGGAAAGCTATACATAGCGTGGAAGAAGTATAGCTAACGTGAAGGAGGCTATATCTAGGGTGAAAGCTATACCTAACACGGAGGAGGCTATGCCAAGCGTGACGGAGGTTATACCTAGCGTGATGAAGGAAAGCGGTCTGATTCACTACGTGAGAACTACTAACCAAAGAATCAGAGTCCAGTGGCTAGGCTTCCCATGTCAGTGAGAAATGTATTATATGTAATTAATTTTGTTTCTTCTAATAACTCCTACAGTTATGTATTGTTCAAGTCAACGCACCATCGAGTTTAACTGAGCCTGCAGCACTTCCCGGGTCATCAAACTTGCCTTTGTAACGTTTGATTTTGTAAACGAAATCCTGTGCTCAAGTTAATGTTTTTTTTTCACATTGCGCAAGTAAAAATACGTGTTAAACCGAGAGGATGTGTCAACCAATGAAGTTACTAGTTAAATCACTTTATAAGTTATAAGTTAAAGTTATAAATTAAATTACAAACTTGCTACCTTGAAATTACATGTACAATCAGGAAGCTTTGTATCAAACCATCGAGTTATGTCGAGATTCTAAGAAGACGGAATGCTAACACATACGTGTTTCTGTGTAATAAAGTCACCAAGTTTTGAGTATGTAATTTGAGCTGTTATATTGAGCATGAATCAGTGCAGTGTTGGTGGAAGACTCTGAGGCTGCAGGAGAAAGCTATATCATTCAAAAATGTAAAAGGTTTGTGAAAATTGCACCCATACACACACACAAATGCTAGTACGTATTGCAACTATTTTGTCAAAATTAAGAAAATGGACTATTAGACTCAAAACATTTACGTTTTGTATTAGTACAATGTCATACTAAAATATTGGAAAAATAACTAAAGAATCTAACCTAACCTGTCTGAACAAACCTAGGCCTGCTATGCACTATCTTAGGCCTAATATGGTACGTATATATGTTATACTAGACCTGGGAATGCTTATGTTTGGTTCATGACTTTTATTTCGTTCTCTCTACAAAATTAATAGTGCAAAACATGAACATTGTTGGCTGCAACAGTCACTTTTGAATGTTCAACCAAGCCTAAATCAATAAAATGGAATGTCTGTCCGGCTCTCTATTCAAAGTAAGAGAGCAGATGTTTGGGGCAAGCTTAACCCGGACAAAATGACACATGGGGGCATGTGAATGTCATAGGTTAGGAGTCGAACCCAGTGCCACACTTTAATAAATGTCAGCATCTATAGCAATCCTCCTTCGATTTTCACGGTCTGAAATCAAGAATCTGTTTCCCGTAAAGTTTTACTATTGTTTTCGGCGATTAATAATATTACGTTTCCCGAGAAAGATAGAGACGGGGAGGGGGGGGGGAGAGGGAGAAAGGTGCAGAGGGTGGGAGAGGTGATGGAGGAGAGTGGGGTGTGAGGAGAAATGTGGAGAAGGGGGAAATAGGAGAAGAGAGAGATGAGAGAAAAGAGGAGATTGAGAAAGAGAGAGAGACCCGGGCAGAGCTGGGTACCCCTATTTAGTAGTTGCTGTAAATACATACTATATTTTTCCAGTTAATCATTTATTTGCTTATAGTTTTTCTAATCTCGCTCTGTTATTTATAAATATTATTCAAAATAATGTACTTATATTTTACAACTGTTTTGGCAAGCTTGTACTGTTTTATAAATTGTACAAACGATTTGTTTATGTGACATTTTTTCCGAGGTAACGACTTTGAGGGCACGCTTGCCGGTGTAACAGTGTGTTTACCTTGTGCGGGCGTGCGCTCTCACCTCTCGTTATTCAAGCATTTTCATTGGATTTTCCCGTGACATATCATGATTTGGGAGCTGAAATCATGTCGTCCGGAAAGAGATGTATGAATACGTCAGGCAAAGGTAAGTGTAAGATACTTATTATGGATAAGAAAGGCGATTTTGTCGAGAAACGTAATAGTGTGGGGAAGGCATATTGCTGGCAGAAGTAGGGTTATGGTGCTAGTGTTGTTTCTAGCATAAAAGCAAAAAGAAATCAAGCCTCAGAGTCTGTGAGTAAAAGGGAGAGCGAACAACTGATGTCAGAGTAGTAGTAACATTGACGCCAAAGTATAAGGATTTTGAAGATACAGTTTACTAGTGGTTTACGTAAAACTGTAGCCTGGGGTGACCCGGGCTGGCCCAGATATAACACCCCGTATTTTTTTTGCCTTTGGTGGTTTATAGTTACAGGCTGTAGCTGAGTAAATGGCACTAGTAATAATAATCATTGAGTGCTGCAAGATCAATTCGCGGTTGCTGCAAAAGTTTAACCGATGGCAAGGCATAGTACTATAACAGCATTTTGTTGCCTCTATTTTTTTTTGTCTTCCCATGAGCAGTCTGTGCTGCAAAACGATAAGTGGACAGATTAGCGTTTCTTATTTGTTTTAGTTTGGTATTACTTATTTAAACAAAATCATTGCTTATGTATTATTGGTATATCTGACATGTATTAGGTGCTTCATTATAAGAAATATCAGAAAAATTTGGCCGTAAGTTGCCCAAAAAAGGTTATTTTTGTATCCATTATTTATTAACAAAACGGGCATATCTATATATTTCAGGACGCTAGCCAATACATAAACATCAAGGTTAAAAAATCATATTATTTTACATAATATGTAAATACGTCAGATTTGATTGACCCCCAATCTGGCTTGACCGATAACCCAAAATTATGGCCGGCCTAATTCTTTATACATTAGTGAGAAGCCAAAAATTGCCTTGAGAGCGTATCATGCTCTGTCCCAGTTTACAGGAAAATTGCAATCACTTTACAGTCTTGGCAGTTACAAAGTTTGTCTCGGTCTAGCGCTCGTCCATCATGGATCAAACATACCAATTTTTGCCTCAAATGATCTGGGATAATAGTTCGGTTTTTCCCGAGTTAAGAGTCTTTGAGGAGTATTATCTCAGTGTGCAGTAGAAAGACCCTCCCGATGTGGTGTGTCGGGTTTGTGTGTCAGTGAACCACGGTCGGACGGCAGCTTACAGTTAATTCACCTCAAGGCTACGGTCCTTGCGCTCTTCTCGGTTCTCTGTCTATGAAGTCTTGGACGTTCGTGTGGAAGTTAAAATGGAAACTAAGGTATATTTTCTTAATAATAAGTGTGTGATTTACTAATAATCAAGTCTTTTGCCAATAGCTGCATGTTTATGACGAAGTATTTGTGGTTGTGAGTCTTGTCGGATGTTAGAATGTGGCATAGACATAGATGCACACGTCCTCACGCACATAAATATACATTCAACTCGCACACATCTTTACTTACATACACATACTTTCAACTCACATGCACATATCTTCAACTCGCATGTACATACCTTTAACTCATGCACGTAACTTTAATCGATATCTTTTGTGTTGTATTGCCATACGTGTTATTCTGGGAAATGTTGTTAAGACATAGTTTGTAATTCCGTTTGCTCTAAGAACAAAGATATTTACAATTAGCATACATAACTACCCCCTTTGCGTGGGCAGTTATATTTCTGCATGTGTGAGGTGCTCCTAGCACGGAACATATATGCAGTTATCTTAAGGATTTGGACCAAGCCAAAAATGTAGCAAATTTAAAATGTTTATTTTGTTTCTCGTATATATGATTATTTCTACTTCTCTTTGTCAAAGAATTCAATGGTGACTTTTAGAACATAAATGTTACATTTACACTTAATTTTGTCGGGCTCCCCATTATTTATTTTCTCAGGGTCTTAGGTTTAAGACTATATATTGCCTATAGGTCTTTCAGCCTCTGCTCTTTGGAGAGGTGGGAAGGAAGGGGGGGAGGGAGAATTATCGGGGAAAAGCGCCAAGCCATTACGAATATATAGCACTTGAAAGGGGTCAATATAAGGATTTGAGATGGGACGGGGGAAAGGAATGGTGTCCAACCACTTGGACGGTCGGGGATTGAACGCCGACCTGCATGAAGGGAGACCGGTGTTCTACCGCTCTACCCTTCTTTAACAATGGCTACAGTATTACAGTAGCAATACAAATTCAAGTCTTGTGATCAATCTCGCATTGTATGTGTGCACAGGGTTCAACCACCACAGACCCAACATTGCACAGCAAAAAAAGCTATCAGAATGATAAATTCTGTTTCCAGACAGCATAAAGCATCATTGTTAAAATCTCGAGCTATTCTGAATATAAACGCTAGATATATTGTTTTTTTTTATTTATTTCAACACTAACCGAGACTTGAAACTTCTTTGAAGGATGTAATAAACTTATGAATATCTCAAGAAATGAATGTCTTGACAGTTCCGAGAGTGACTCAATCTATACAAACGTACCGTTCAAATAAAATGATCTAAAAATAATTTCTTTCAATATAATTGTGCAGTATATAGCATACGTTGTTCAAAAGTAATGTGAACAAAGCATCTATTTGGTTTAGTAAAGTAATATCTTTCTCCCCACTGTTTCTCAGCTTCTACTTGATGAGGCTTTAAGACAGACCTAAACGTTATCACATGTCCTTTATTGTTAAATTTGTGGGTAGTGTGTTATTGTGACACTGTCTACTCTTATTCTTCTCGTTATGCAAGTTACAGTATTAAATCATTTCCCAGGTTATTCCATAATAGTATCACAGTCTCCCCTATTATTATATGAACCAATAACTGCATCACCAGTACCATTTTTAATAGTCACTAACTTTACCCCGGTAGCCTAATTATGTTATAGTCATTTCTAAAATTTGAACGTCAGTCGGTCTATCCGTGAACATGTTAACTATAATTATACATTAGTTTTAGGCACAGCACTTGTTTCAAGTATATGGGTCTTCTTATTAACTTTTTTTTATCACTGCAAATTTTTAATATATACTTTTAGCTTTGAGGCTTTATGAAAATATTTTTTTTTTAATTTTTACCCTTTATTTAAATTGTAGTTATACAGTGACAATTTGAGTCCTTTTTTTGTTTTACAATTACCTTTTGTATCTTTTTTTGAAAATAAAGGTCAATGTGAACAATGAATAAAACAGCAGTTGCTTGATAATTGTTAGCTCAATTGATGATATTATGTTGACGCTCATTAAGTTTAATATTCAAAATACTAAGTTCTACGACCATTGGACACTTGGAGCACAATCGACACCTAATTTCCCCGCATTCCTGGATGTTGCCAAGGTCTCGCCTAACATAACGGTGCTCCGGTACACAAGTGCATTTAGAAAACGGAAGACAGCCAAAGAAGAAAATGGCCCGATGTGAGATTGAGAGAAAATGAAAATAAGTCTGGGTAGACTTACCTATTTCAGCCATTGTACCGCACAGGGTAACCCAGAGGACACTAAACTTTTGTGAAATGAGCACTGAAATTCTGTTCGTCTCATAAATTATAAGAAGTATTGAAGTAGTTGAAGTGAGTATAGTTCTTACACAATGCTAATAATTTTTTAAGTAATGTTGTCGGGGACAGAAAAGCTGTATTCTAGTTGTGCTTGCGGGGATTGAGCTTTGTCTCTGGTTCTCTTTGGTCCATTTTGCCTTTCAACTGTCAATCAACTGGTGTACAGATTCCTGAGCCTACTGGGCTCTATCATATCTACATTTGAAACTGTGTATGGAGCCTGTCTCCACCACATCAGGGTGGAGTCTCACTGTCACTGTCACTGTCTACTCCACCAGGCTACAAGGGGCCTCGTAGCCTGGTGGATAGCGCGCAGGACTCGTAATTCTGTGGCGCGGGTTCGATTCCCGCACGAGGCAGAAACAAATGGGCAAAGTTTCTTTCACCCTAAGTGCCCCTGTTACCTAGCAGTAAATAGGTACCTGGGAGTTAGTCAGCTGTCACGGGCTGCTTCCTGGGGTGTGTGTGTGTGGTGTGGAAAAAAAAGTAGTAAACAGTTGATTGACAGTTGAGAGGCGGGCCGAAAGAGCAAAGCTCAACCCCCGCAAAAACACAACTAGTAAACACATCACTGCCTAATGCATTCCATCTGTTAACTACTCTGACATTGAAAAAGTTCTTTCTAATGTTCCTGTGGCTCATTTGGGTACTCGGTTTCCATCTGTGTCCCCTTGTTCGCGTATCACCCGTGTTAAACTGTTTAACTTTATCGACCCTGTCTATTCCTCTGAGAATTTTGTAGGTAGTGTGTGTGTGTGTTCTCACCTATTTGTGCTTGCGGGGTTTGAGCTTTGGCTCTTTGGTCCTGCCTCTCAACTGTGTGTGTGTGTGTGTATTTACTATTTGTGCCTTTATAATCGAGCTATTAGCTCTTGGATCCCGCCTTTTTAACCAATCTATTTTACCTCTATTAAGTCTACTACATATATTTCTCTAACACGTGTACACACACACACACACATCCCCAGGAAGCAGCCCGTAGCAGTTGTCTAACTCCTAGGTGCCTATTTAGTGCTAGGTGATCAGGGGCATTAGGCTGAAAGAAACTCTGCCCATTTGTTTCCGCCTCCGCCTGGAATCGGACCCCGGCCCATAGGACTACGACCCCCAAGCGCTGTCTACTCAGCCGCGAGGTGTGTGTGTATGCAAGACCTGGATAGGTATTTTGGTAACAAAAAAAAAAGAAATCGCAAGTAGTTTAGAGTATGCACAATAGAAAACGGATGTTAGCTTAAGTGAGTAACTCAAGTATAAAACGTTTTATCAGTGGGTACCCCTATATGGGTTACTGGGTCTACGCTTTCTCTTATGTTTTTATTGCAATGTTTTAAAGCTATTTCAGCATATTAAAGCGCTCTCTCTTGTTTTTCCTGGTAACATTTTGACCTGTTATTGTTCTTTCTATTTCCTTCCGGTGGTGGTACTTAAAGTTTATTAGAAATATTTTAAGGCCGTCGTATTAAATACATATTTTCTGTAATATACTAAGTAC